AAACAACATCAACATCTGGTTGCTATGGCTCGACATGACACGGAGAACCTCAAAATATAGTTTCAGCACTAATTCTTAGATATGGGGAAATACAATTAATTAAATTAAACATGTTATATCTTTACTCAGATTGACTTTGCAGTTGGTTTACAGTCTGCAGCTGAATGATTACGTAACGTTGATCCCAAAAAAATGGCCACAACCTGTGAGAACAGCCCAGATGTGTTATCAAATCAAAAGGTTTGTACAGCAGCCTTCGACCAAGGCCACACACATCAGTGAATGTACAAACTGTGTATAGGAAGTCTTAACCCTTAAAAATATATCTTCATATTATATCATTAGGCTTAACTGTTAGTTAATGCCTTATTAACCTTCTGCTATTATAAGAAATATTGAATTAACAAAAAAATAACTTAAATGTTAGTCTTACTGCTGACCATGTTTTCTGGGAAATGTTGCCATCTGCTCTTCTTCCCAGCACTGCTGTTATAACCTGGACTAAGATGACACACACTAAATGGTATCTTAAAAGATGGTTTGGAAATTGCTTAAGTGCCTTTTTTATATTGTGATTACCATGTGCGTTTGTTTTTCTCTTCATTTATGTTCACTGTTAACTCTTCAACTTTTGTTAAATTCTTCCATTTTAATGTTGTTTTTAAGACCTAAAAGAGTTTAAGTAATGTCTATAAGATGTGATATATCTCTATAATAAATATTTATTCAATAAATATGTGAATTTAAAAAAACACAGCCAAGATGAATTTCTCCAAATCAAAATCAGTGAAATTTATTAATGTGGTTTTACATAATGTTGGGCGCATATAGCAGCATAAAGCAGCATATAAACATTCAATAAATGTTTATAAAGACATTATAATGTAGTTTAAAGCAGCCATAAAAACATTTTCAACGGTTAAATATACCATATTTGTCAGCGATTATAACTTCTCCTATGAAGACATATTTTCAATAATTACAACTGTATTGAATATATTGCCAATAATCATACACCAGCCTCCACTTATGGGTGCCCACAAGAGTAAATGTTGTTGACAAACACATTAATAAACACTTATATTTACTTATAACTAGTGTGTTATAAACCATTTAAATGAATATTTATATATTGCTAATAAATGCTTACTTAAAGTAAAGTATTGTCAACATGGGATTGTTAATTTTTGGACTTGAATGATTTTACAGCCACGTCAAACAGCAATCCACAGAGAACAGTAAGGGGTCATTTTAATTAGCATCGGAAAACGTCGTTCAGTAACAGCTATTTGCGTATGCATTTTGGCTTGCATTATCACAACTTTAATGTCAACATGACAGTTGTATCCCAGGATAGACTCCGCATTTCCTGAGCGTGCAACCTTACACCAGTGTGTCACACACATTCACCTCCTGCTGCCCATAAGTGAGAGTGAGAGTGAGAGTGAGGGGCAGTAAACACATGTTGCTGTGAATGGAATACCAACCATGCTTGGCGAGTAAATGCTCAGCACTGACGAGCTATTTTGGACACGTTGTCCAACTTGCATAAAGTTCATTCATATTCATGTTTCTACAGTTTTGGTAGAAATGTTAAATCAATATTTAGATCTTATTTAGATAAGAAAAGGGTAAATATGTGTTCTTGAAATTATTTTTTAATTGTTTTTTTTTACAACAAACAAATTATAGAGAAATTTGACAAGCTGTTAAATATCTTACATTAAACACAAGTAGCTCAAGTTGATTGAAGACTCACCTGGATGTCCCTCTCCTACGGACTCCGACGTGAACATGAAAGAGCCCTCTTCCAGTATGTCACTCATTTTTTTTTCTACAGGGCCAGGTACTCGGCAAGTCTTTTAGGGATTAAAGTTTCCTCAGTTCCCTCCAACAAGCAGTCTAGAGGGCTGTTTTATATTCCTGCTGCTTTTCTTTGAGAGAGAAATGAAGAAAGAGAGGCCAAAAGCCCTGCAGACAATACAAAGTCTATCCTACAAAACTCCACGTCTGTGTCCACATGGCCCAATATATAGGGCTAAGAGAACACACGCGCACACTCTCTCTCTGTCACACACACACAACACATACAAAACACACACACACACACACACAAGCACACAGACAACACACACATTATGTGAATCCATGGGACAGTCCATTCCAGAGGGGGAGTGGATGATGGGAGGACATTTACAGCTTGTGAAAACAGCTTGTTAACCCCTTGTGTACAGTGTGATGCTTGACTGTATGTTTATAGTCCTCACCAGCTCCGACATCTCTGCTTTAAGGTGGAAGGCTTGTGAGTGGGAGCAGGGACATCTTAATTAGAGGGTTCCCCTTCCCCCCTCAACCCAGTGGGACAGCTCTGTCTGCTGGGACTCGGCCAGGTCAGGGCAGCCTATGGACAGAGGGAGAGAGAGAAAAATGATGCAATTACTCCTGTTTACATTATGTTGAGAGTTTGTTCAATTAGAAATGACATTAGATTAATCAATTAGTCTATTGAAAGATTAATCTGCAACTACTCCTTCATGGTTTAATCATTTTTTTAAGCACTGTACTTGAATGAAGTACAATTTTGATTGAGGTACTTGCAATGTATTTGAGTGCCTCTATTCGATACTTCTTTATACTAATACTCGACTACGTCTCAGGGAAAAATGTATACTTTACTACATTTATGTGACTACTGTAGTTACTGGTTAATTTGCAGATTGAGATTTTACATGAAATCTTAATGAGTAGTTTATAAGATTATAATGAATTGTGATATATTAAACTACCAATCAGTACAAAACAATTAAAATCAGCTCCACTCTGACCAGCTTCAACATTAAAATGATGTTTGTACATTATCGATCAGTGTGATGATGATGATGATGATGAAAACAGTGGTCTGCTGCAGCCTTAAAAATGTGAAACATCTTATTTAGGTAAATGTACAGAAGGATATTACGCAAAAGGTATTTTATATTAAAAGCTAAGGGACTAAGTAAAAGTAGTAGAAATACCACAAAGTAAAGATCCCGTGCATTTGAAATTGTAGTTAAGTAAACAAAATGTATGTTAAGTATCAACTATAGAGGTCAAATAAATGTAGTGAAGTAAAAGCGGAATGTTTCTTTCTGAAATGTAGTGGAGTGGAAGTAGCATAGAAAAGTATTTCAAATTTGTACATCAGTACAGTACCATGTAAATAGTTACTTTGCATCACTGTCGATAATTACATTTGGAGCAGACAGTCACCTGTTGTCTGAATGCTCTTTTCCATCTCAGTCCTAGCCGGAGGCTCTTGTCTCGGTGCACAACTGCAGAAAATATCGAGCCATTTCCTGAGAGAAGATCAAATAATGAAGATGTGCCTCTCAGATAACTCGTGGTCTTTAAGGTGACTCTCTGTGCCTGTGTTTCAGTAGAATATCAGGGACTGTAGAGGACTGTTTGTGCAAGTGATGCTCACAAAAACACTGTATGTGCACCAACAAAAATACACCTGGAGAAACAATGGGACTGTAAACCGCACACTGACTCTGTATCTTTGCATGTGGTATACAAGCTCTGCAGACAGTGAGAGATAAACAAATGTCTCTTTATTGTGATGTAAACAGTGCAGAGGGACAAACCCTTTCTCTCCAATTCTGTCTCATCCGGCTCTAGTTTCAGCTGGTGTTGAGTTGGCCTCATGAAACGAGACAAGGATGTTAACAAGATCTCAGTGGTGAATAAAATACTTCCTTACTGCTTCAAGCCTCATTTAAAGCAGATTCAACCAGAGAAGCAAAAAGCACAATCTGCATTAACCAACAATTTTACAGAGAGTCTAAAAATGCACACAGGACATTATAGCTTCACACACATTATGCAGAGATTTTTGTGTTTTTGTTGTTGAAAGGAATGGGCGAGAATTAGAAACAGCTGTCTTAACATGCAAAGTAAATGCCTCTTAAGTAAGTAGCAAGCTGACCTAATCTTACCCCAGGCCAGCAGAGTCAAATCAAACCTAGTACCAACCAGTAGCTGCATGCTGAGTATGCTATAAAGGGTGATGACAGGCTCTATCCATTATTCTTTCCATACTGAAAGATGAATCCCAAAGACTATACAAGCTCAGAACTCTTATGATAGGAAATGCCCACATACCCTACCCCAGATGAACTATTTCATATTGCGAGAAAGCTATTTAGAAGGCAAGCAGAGAAATGGAAATAGTTAGCTAAAAGTAATGGATGTACATGTTGAATGTGGAAATAATCAAATCAATGGACAAACAGATGAGTAGCTTAATTTGTGAATTGTTTGCTAGTTTAAAAAGGATGAACAACCACAACTGGGTATTAACTTGTATTGAATCTGTTTTTCTTTTCGTTAATTTAATAATTTATTATCTTAGAGAAACACAGAGGTAGTTAAGGAAAGAAATATACTGTATTTGCGACAGAAACATCTCACTCAAAAGAGGTTTTGTTAGAATGCATAATGTGTGATACTGTACTTTGTAACTTGTCCAGTGCGCTAACACTCTACATGTTTAAAACCTGCTTAGATTGGGCATGTAGTATGGAACTGGGATACAGATATGGTCTACAAGGAGACAGAGGTCAGAGGTCAGGGACAGTAAAATGTGACAAACATGAACTAGATTAAACAAGAGAAGACATGAGCCGGTCTGACGGGACAGTGTGTTACCTGTGGAGGATACTCCTCTGTTTATTTTGGCCTGACTACAGTCTGTGTGTTCAGATGAAAACACTCAAGACCCCGCACGTGTTACGTGCAGCCCTGTAAAACAGACTCCTCTCTGAGTCCGTGTGGATTGCCTCTAAACATTTGTTAATGACTGACCAGGAAAACTCCAACAAGATTGTTCTGGTTATGGTGAAAGATAACTGCTATCAGAGCTTTGATAGCGTGTCAGCATGAAGAGGCTGAATATGTGCTGGAGAATTAGGAAAATGTTATAGATAACACTGTGACCCTCAAGTGTAACTTACTGACTTTTCTGTGCTCTACATGAGACTAAACTGTAAAACAGAGACTTCCAAGGATTTCAAAGACTGCACTAGTTATCATGCACATGGAGGTCAGTCTGTCAGGAAAAAACAATGCAATCATGATACACAAGGATGTAAAAATACTAGAGTGAGGGGCCACGGGGAAGAAGTAGTCTTATCCTTTACTTCAGTATAATACCACAGTATATAAATTCCCTGAATGGCCCATTTCACAATAATGTATATTATATTATTCATTGGATTATGATTATTGATGGATTAATATGAACATTGCTTTAATGTTGTAGCTGGTGAAGGTAGGACTAATTTGAATTACTTGTGTATATATATATATATATATATATATATATATATATATATATACACACACACACTACCAGGTAGCCTTTGATTTTCTCCCCAGGGACCAATTAAGTATTTTCTTCTCTTAATCTATAACGATAGCATAATTTATTTTCGAAATAAAAAGTTGAAAGTTCACATCCACCTGAACATTAAGAGCCGTTGGGCCCCTCAGAAGATGAAGTGCAAAATGATAAAGGCCTGATGACCTTTGTGTTGCTGTTGTTTGACAACTACAGCTCAGTCGATGGCCGTCCAGCGAGTATGTCAGAGGTCTTGAACGTCCCCTTGATTTTATGAACACGCAGTTCATGCCGACACTTTTAATGACGCGCAGCCGAATTAAGAGAAAAAACAAACACAGTGTGCATTAATCATTGAAATGATTTAACGCCAGTGTCTGACATCACACATTAAGAAGAAATAAACTCACTGAACTGATCTCAAATCCCACATGAGAGCGACTCCTCCTTCAGTCTGATTGGCTACATGAAATGTATGTCATATTGATCCCCCCCTCCCCCCCACTCCCTCTGCATTTCAATTTAAAAGCCAGGGTCAGTATTTTGGGGTTCAAGAGTAAGTCAAACTCAAACTTCCCAGAACAGGACGGGATAAATGAACCCTGGCAGAGTCAGGGGGAGGTTAACACCTGTTTGTCTTTCCTTAGGTACAAGGACACAGCGCTCGTCAGGTTACCAACCAGTTTCATCTGGATGGCAGTCACAGCATGAACTGTTATTGCACAATGGAGAGATTGTGGAGTGTGTACAATTTGTTACATAAGGAATTACGTACCAATATACAACAGATAATCCACAATGTCTGACATCATAATTAGTTTATTGTATGTTTATGGCGATTTTTATCACAGTTCGTGTTCTGTGTTTTTGCAGCTCTCCGACTCTCTTTGAGGCGAGGGTCATTCTGTTGTGTTCATTTTGTGGTTTCTGTTTGCATTAATCTGACGTTTTGGCCTAAAAACTGTTTACAGACTTATCAGGTGTAATTTTGCTGTTAAATTATTTTAAATATTATCACTCAAGTTCACGCAAAGCAATAGAAATGGAAATCTGTTTCTGCCATCAAACAGATCCAAAAGCAGATTTATCTTCTCGGACAGTCAATACTATTGCACTCCCTGTCCTCCTTCACTACTGCCCAATTTGCTCTGATTGGCTTCACTTTTTTTTAATGCGTCAACCAATGCGAGAACACCACACAGGAGGTGGTGTGCAAATCTTCAGCTGTGATTGGCTGTTGGTCCCACACACTCCCCACTAGAGCAGCATTGGTCCAAGAAAGAGACTGTTCTGTGTTTGTGTGTACGTTTGCACGTGTGTGAGGAGAATACCACAGAAAAATAGTCTAATCAGACCAACCCCAGACCTCACTTGAATCTTTAGACCTCACTTTTATTGTGTACATATTTAGTGTGTTGTCATGTGTAAAATGTTTCACTGTACATTGACCAGTCTTATATTACAAATGGCTGATTATAAGATGATTTACAAGCGGTAGCCTAACTTTGTCAAGTAATTTCAGTTTAAAAAATCCAGTGGCCATTTATAATGTATTATAGTAGATCACGTGAAATGGTTTACAACAACAAAAACATGCATCCAGACACACACACACACACACACACACACACACACACACACACACACACA